GTTTCATCACGGGACCGTTTATTTGGACTTTTTTTTTTTAAGTTCTAAAACGTACGATCGCGATCGCGGCAAAAGTTGAGGTTGATTCCTCTTTGTAACAATTTTTAATGGCTTAATATTTTATCTTTTATAATATAAAATTTATATTCTCTTATTTTAATATGTTCTTAACATTTTGCCTGTGTTGTTTCACTTTGAAAAGTTCTGAACATGGCCTTTTTTTTTTTTAGAAATAACGCTTTTGTTTTTAAAATCCTTTGTTTTCTTCATTTTGGAAGCCATTTGCATTTTTTTATATTTCAAATTTAATGGATGCAAATATATTCTATTTAATAAAAAGTAATTTGTGTTAAAATTTATACAACATACAGCAAAAATAAAGTGCAAAAATCAAAACAAACAATGCCGCTAAATTTATTGTTTTGAAATCGCGATCCGCGAGATGAAATATGCTCAAAATTTTGTTGTTTTAATTTTTTTTTTTAATTACAATTCTAAGTTCGTTATAAGCATAGTATTTTAAATAGATTTTATTATTTTGGGACCGAAAATAGGTTCGTTATAGGGGTAGTTCGTTATTCTAAAAATCGCAAAGTTCGTTATAACGATGGTATTTTCAATGGAATGGAATTGGGAATCGGCGTGGGTTCGTTATAAGGGAAGGTTCGTTATATCCAGGGTTCGTATTAGCGGGGTTTTACTGTATACAGTAAAACCCCTCTATAGTGAACCCCAATGGGACAGAGCTTTTGGTTCACTATAGCCACGGTTCACTATAGCCACGGTTTGGCTATTTTTTTTTTACTTTTTAAAATTTTTAGACCGTATAATTAAAGGACAGCCATACACACAAGAAGAGGCTTCCTCTTAATAGTGGTCACTTTATTTTAATTCCCTTAATTGACCAATTTCCTTACATTAATACTGAATAATAATAGAAATCATTAGATGATAGGTTCTTCTTATCATTAACATACATGTACCTCTATGTCTAATTTAAAAATCAAGACAAATCCTAGGCAAAGTTTTATTAAATATATATGCAAAGATATAAAATGATTTTAAAACATCATTATCACCTTATATAATACATTGTTTACTTGGAAAAATGGCTCTAACACCTTGTTGCTTCAAAGCATTCTTCAAGCATTGCACCATTCAAATAAAGTTGGTGTTTTTCTTCCATTTCCCCACATATTCTTCTAGGTCTATATTTCTTTTTTTTTTTTAAACTTGTCATGCAAAACATTGCTGACTTTAAAATCACCATAGTTAATGGCATAAAAATAGTTTTTGTTTCATCACGGGACCATTTATTTGGATTTTTTTTTAGCCCTAAAACGTACGATCGCGATCGCGGCAAAAGTTGAGGTTGATTCCTCTTTGTAACAATTTTTAATAGCTTTATATTTTATCTTTTATAATAGAAAATTTATATTCTCTTATTTTAATATGTTCTTAACATTTTGCCTGTGTTGTGTCACTTTGAAAAGCTCTGAAAATGGCCTTTTTTTTTTAAATAAATAACGTTTTTATTTTTAAAATGCCTTTGTTTTCTTCATTTTGGAAGCCATTTGTATTTTTATATTTCAAATTTAATGGATGAAAATATATTTTATTTAATAAAAAGTATAATGTGTTAAAATTTATACAACATACAGCAAAAATAAAGTGCAAAATTCAAAACAAACAATGCCGCTAAATTTATTGTTTTGAAATCGCGATCCGCGAGCTGAAACATGCTCAAAATTTGGTTGTTTTAGTTTTTTTTTTTTAAATTACAATTCTAAGTTCGTTATAAGCATAGTATTTTAAATAGATTTTATTATTTTGGGACCGAAAATAGGTTCGTTATAGGGGTAGTTCGTTATTCTAAAAATCGCAAAGTTTGTTATAACGATGGTATTGTCAATGGAATGGAATTGGGAATCGGCGTGGGTTCGTTATAAGGGAAGGTTCGTTATATCCAGGATTCGTATTAGCGGGGTTTTACTGTATGTTGTAATATGTTTCAATGCTTAATATCCCCATATGTAATATAGCTATAGTGTAACAGCCAAAATTGTAACACAATCCAATCATCATGTAACACAAAACTGAATAATAAAGTTTGATTGAGAGCCAGTCAGCGCCCAGTCAGGAAAAAGGTCTCTGATTACACCGTCTGTCTGAAAAACATAAGTCAAATTACCATCAGTCCCTCTCTGGCCTAGATCAGACCCCCTCGACCTGCGCTGGCCTCTCTCTCTCTCTCTGAGGTGACATCCAACATGCCTCGTCCTTTTGTGCAATCCCATTCACGCCTGAAACCACTCTGATCATTGTGGCATCACGACTGTATCTAACCTGCCTACCACAAGTCATCCAACAGGATAAACTCATCACTACATATATATATTCAACATAAAGTTGCGGGAGGATGATATTCATGTACCTGTGGCGACCACACTTTGCTTCAGCGAGCGCGAACTGGGACAAAGCTTCAAAACACATACGAGCGGAAGAATGGCAGCCCCACTATGCCTCGGCAAGCACGTGCTGGGAGAACACGTCACTACGCATGCGCAGGCGTCATCCGGAACTTTCTAGCCACTGGCGCGGTAAACAACAAGGCCTGCTCCCAACGGCCGTTACTTCAACCGTTACTTCTTTTCTCTTTATATATTTCTGGCTTTAAATAAATTAATTATAATTTTATCAGCGGCCTTTCCACAAGCCACACCAACACATCACGCAACCATCCCACATACCTATTGAGGAATCTCTTCCTTTAATTATTCATCAGAATGATGGTACTGTACATCACCCTAGTAAAAACTTCACTAGTGATGATAAAGAATGAACCACAATACCTGTTTTTACAAATACAGACAAAAAGCTAACAACCTGTGTACCATAGTTTTGGGCTATGGCCCTAATCACTACAGGGGCGGCTTCGATTGCATAACCCTTCTCATAAAATGTTATAATTTTACACAAATAAATTTACTGGCAATGCTTTTCTTTTAAATAGCATCAAATATTATCTCTAAAGACCTTACTGCAATGATATGAGTTGCTGAATGAGAGGGCTTGGCTCATCAGTAGTGAACCCTCTCAGCAGTTTCGCCAAATTAATCTCTAGACCGCTCTACTATTGTATTGGATTGGTTTGAAATATCACTAGTACACTGAAATATCACTAGTAAAGTTATGGTTGCAAGGTGTTCCCACTATGTACTAAGTGTCAACCCCAAATCACATTATTGACTGTATTGACTCATCCATTGATGAGCTCTACTCATCGCCAGCAGACACCATCAACAAGCTTTACAAGCTTGATACCCTGATATGATTGAGTGGAGATAAGAAAGAAGAAGACTAGTAAAGTTTTTTGCTAGAATGATGCATAATGCCATCATTCAGATGCACAATTAAAGGGAGAGATGCCTCTAGGTACACATTTATATATATAGAAGCATACGTCGCCTCTCCCTTCAAAATCTGATGCCATCTATTGACCGTCGTCACAAACTAGCGGCCTCGGGTCGGTGACAAAGCCACAACATCAGCTTTGGCAAACTGAAGTGTGGATCTCATCGAATAAAGTTTTCCCAAGACTGACGAGGGCCATTAGCCCGAAACCATGGTCTCTAGGTGGACGCTTCTCAATTTACCAAAGCTGGTGTTGTGGCTTTGTCACCGACCCGAGGCCGCTAGTTTGCGGTGACAGTCAATAGATGGCGTCAGATTTTGACGTGAGAGGTGCCCTATGCTTCTACGGATCAATTTCCTCCCGGCAAATTTTCCATCTATATATATATATTGAATATTTATCCCATTTCAAATAAAACGACTTTCTACTGTAAGGACAGTGTTGCTGCTACTGGATGAATAGGTTGTGTTCTATATAGGCTTAGTTTTATCTCTCTCTATTATAAATTGTCTCATTTTCATTTAATATATTGTGTGCCTTCTTTATATCGAATACATGATAAGGTATACAATTTGGATTATAGATTGGAAACACAAGGTAATAAGACCAAATCTCCAAATAAATAAAGAGTGTGTGACATTTTAGTGTTATCAAAATGTCACACACTCTTTATTTATTTGGAGGTTTGGTCTTATTATCTTGTATTTTTAATATACAGTAGTACCTCCCTGTAAAGGACAACACCTAATTGCAGAGCCAAAGTGTCCTTTAGGGAGAGATTTCCTCTTACCGGAGAGTTGCTAAATTGTAAAAATGTTAATTTTACAAACGAAAACTGTCCTTTGTGGAGAGGTGTCTGCTAAAGGGAGGTTCTACTGTACTTTTAAAATCTTAATGAGAAGATGGTTCACATAGTAGTGTTCCTGACTTAAGACAGTAAACCAAGAGCTGAATGGATCCAGGAGGCCCAGCGCCTGGTGCTGGAGACAGAGCTCCACCAGAGAAAGATGGAAGAGAAGCTGAGACTGTTGGAAGCTGAGGAGGAGGAGGTGGGAAGAGGAGATTCAGAAGTGAGCTCCCTGGCCGGGAGCAGCCTGGCTCCAGAGCCGGACCTGGTGGCCAGCACCAAGTCTGAGTCCCCACCTGTGGCCCCTCCACGTCGCAGACATCGCCCCAAAAAAGTTGGCAGCAGTTCAGATAAGGTGAGTAAGTTTGTTGTAATTCCTTAAACTGATGGGTTCCTATTATGTCTTTTAAATGCTTAATATTGGGGGTTGGTGAAAGGGTGGTCTAAACAGTTGGTTTTCAACCACTACAACCCGGAATCAAATCCCGCATTGGGCACTTTTTTCTAATTGAAAAAAAAAAAAAATGCTCCAAATGACCCCCCGATTCTTGTAAAAGTCTAGCTACTTTTCACATGTATAGACATGAAGTGCACTTACAGTAAAGGCAGTCACCAACTTCTACCCACCATGATTATCATTGCCTGTACCACGTGTACTAAGGATAATAATTAAAAAAAAAAAGGCTTATATCATGATGAAGATGGGATTCCAACCTACTCTGGCAGAGCCCAATTATAAATAAATTAGCTGAGAGGTTAAGACAATGGACTACTAATCTATTAGGCTCAGCCTGCGTGGGTTTGAATCCCATCCTTGTCATTTTTTTAAATGCTTATATAAAATTCCTTACATTTCTCAGAATAGTTTAAAGCAGGTATTTGTAGACACACAAGGTAATTAAATCAAATCTCCAAATATATAGTGTATGACACATTTCGGTAACAGTGCTGTTACTGAAATGTCACTCCCTATTTATTTATTTGGAGATTTGGTCTTATTACCTTGTCTCTCTATTCTATAATCCAAATTGTACCTCATCAACAGATACAAAAATAATCAAAACAAAGCTTTATCATCTTATCAACAGCTATTTATGCCAATTTTGTCATCAATGATTTAAACTGGCCACACATTGCTGAGTAAACAACCTGAGCCATCAATAGTGCATGGGGCAAAGCAGCCACTTGTGAACCTACAAAGTGGAGATGGTTGAAGAAAAAAAAGATCCATTGGCCATATTGTACCAGCCTTGAAGAGAACAAAGGACAGCTGTCAAGAAGTTGGCAAGTTGCAAAAGAATCCATCATTGGCCAATCTGCAATTGTTTGCCAAATTGTCATAATCAAAATAGAAAAATATTTTTTTGCTTATCCCTAGTACACGTGGTACTAGGGGCCCTAACGGGGCTCTGGCACATTTGTAAGTGCAAAGTCGAACTGCCTTTCACATGTGTAGACATGTGGTGCGCTTATAGTAAAAGCAGTCGCTAACTACCCACCATGATTATCATGGCCTGTACCATGTGTACTAGGGATAAGCAAAAAAAAAAAAACATGTGGTACAGGCCATGATAATCATGCTGGGTAGAAATAGGCGACTGCTTTTATTGTAAGTGTGCACCACATGTCTACATATGTGAAAAGCATTTCGACTTTGCACTTACAAATGTGCCAGAGCCCCGTTTGGTTACTTGCACTTGCTGGTGGGGTTGGACTTTTGCAAGAATCGGGGGCCATTGGAGCATTTTTTTTTTTATTACATAAAAAAAAGTGCAACTTTCAGATGAATAAATTTAAATCTCCTTTAGATATCTGATATCAAAGTAAAACGTTTATGGAGATGAGTATCTTTTATTCTGGAATCAGGCGGCGTTATAGTTTCTCGATATATTGTATATGTTTCTCCTGTAGAAGGGCGGACAAGCCCGAAAGCTTGAGAAGACCAGAATAAAAGATACTCATCTCCATAAACGTTTTACTTTGATATCAGATAAAAAAAAGTGCCCAATGCGGGAATCGAACCCGGGTCATAGCGGTCGAAAAACAACGGTTTAGACCATCCTTCCACCGACCCCCAGAAAAATCTAAGCAAATGGAGGCGACACAAATTGAATGAAAATTAGAACATACTTCTGAAGAACAAGAAGGATTTACTTTTTGGCAATATTGTTATGAGAAATACACCCTCTATAACAACTACAGTAAAACCTTGCTAAAATGAATTGGGGATATAGTGAACGTTCCTTTATAACGAGCCTGAAATAATCCTCGTTTTATAATACAGTAGAACTACCTCCCTGTAAAGAACAACACCTAGTTGGAGAGTCAAAGTGTCTCCGTTAGGGAGAGGTGTCCTCTTACCGGAGAGTTGCTAAATTGTAAAAATGGTAATTTTGCAAATGAAAACTGTTTTTTTGTGAAGAGATGTCCACTAAAGGGAGGTTCTACTGTACTTTGAAGCATGGCTATAGTGAACCACAGGTTTATTCCCATTGGGGTTCGCTATAGAGAGGTTTTACTCTATATACCACATGCAGCTGCTACTTCTTCAAGCATCTCAATAACTTCCTCTAAAAGAAATACTTTAAAAAAAAAACTGATGCTAATATGGCTTTCAATGACACAAGAAAATAAGACCTAATCCAAATAATTTAATAGTGTGTGATGTTTCAGCAACAGCATTGTAACCATCATCAGACAAAAGAATAATTCTTTGTCTGATGATGATGATGACAATGCTGTTGCCGAAACATCACACACTATTAAATTATTTGGATTAGGTCTTATTTTCTTGTGTCTATAATACATAATCCAAATTGTGCTTTATCATGGCTTTCAATGAGTTTATCCTCCAGAAAACTCCAGAATTTAATGCAATCAGATTAAACAAACTTTCTAATTAAGAGAAAGACATCTCCTGATTGTGCAACTAAAAGTTACTGATGGCTTTCCCTTCTCTTCTTCTTCTTTCTTATCCCTACTCAATCATATTAGGGTATCAAGTTTGTAGAGCTTGAGACTTGACAACCATCATGACTGGGTGAAGTAGAATGCGTCTGCCTTTGTCATTAAGACTGGGAGCATTACTCAGTGGCAGGCCAACTTAGCTCCAAAAGAAATGGCCGCCTCTGACATGAAGAACAGACACCATGTGCAGCCGCTCCTAACATGGAGTACAAACGCTGCTCATCCTGTATCCCTGAATTAGGAGCCCTTACAGGGTACTATCAGCCGGGCCAGCTGAGCCCAGGTTTTTTAATGAGCTTGTTACTGCTCCCCCTCCTCCTTTTTCATCTGGGCTTGGGACTGGCTTTCCCCATCTGTTGTAATAGATATCAACTAATTGTTCATTTTAAATTATTCCAGAATACACTGGCCAAATACTGGCATCTTCTGATTGTTGCTGAAAGTTGCTGTTGGCCATAGTTCAGCTACACAATCAGAAAATGCCTTTTTCTCTCACTATGTTGTTGTCTCTAATTGTAAGATTTCACTAATTGTGTTGTTGTTGTTTCTTATCCCCTTGTGTAAAGATTATACACATTCCATGAGTTCATGCTCCTCGAGCTGTTTTATGATAAGCATCCAAAAGGTCCTGTTTAGTGCATCTAATACAAGCCAAAATGTGTTCTGGAGCTGCAGGTGGCAAGCTACATTTTGGGCAAGTGGGGTAGATCTTGTTGTTATTTTCTATCTTCAATGGCTTGAGATGGCCTGTTCTAAATCTTGTTAGTGTTGTTTGATGCTGTCTGAGGTTCAGAACTCCACTGTACCAGCTGTTCACTAATATTGATAACAATATGGTGTGTGTGTTAGGTGGAGCAGCAGCGGGGCAGTGGGGTGACCCCCCAGCTCCTCAGTCCCACAGTCATGGTGGAGTGCCTCACTAAGGAGCTGGAGAAATCCTTGGACCTAGAGAGTGCCACCAGGGGACAGTACGTGGTGAAACCCCAGGTATTCCTTCACTACATTGTCCACTACCTTACATCTATGGTAGAGTTTCTGGTATTGAAGAGAATTCCTTTACTTCTCTCTCAAAAATAGAGTTTATTTGGCTACTATTCATGTTTCTTTGGAAAAAGACAACTTTGGCCAGAAAAAAAATGTATATACAGTAAAACCTCCCACTCAAGATCACCTTGTTGCAAAGCCAAAGTATCATTTTATACAGAGAGGTGTCTTACCAGAGAGTTGCTGGTTTTTATTTATTTTATTTTATTACATGTTCATCCCTGACTTTACAATCTAATAAAATCCACAATCAATCCTGGGCTAGGATTCTCTACCATTTTTATTGCTCTAGCTTTCAGGACAATGTGTCCTTCAACAGGAGAACTGATATAGTTAGCTGGAAGTTATACCTCTAGTTCTCCTGTTGAAAGGACACGTTGGTCTGAATGCCAGAGCAATAAAAATGGTAAAGAATCTTGGCCTTGGATTGCTTGTGGATTTTATTAGATTTTTTATAGGTTAAACCTAAAAAATAAATCATAACTAGTGTATTATATTGCATGTGTTATATCCTTGTTTAACACTTGGTAAACTGGTTATACTATAGTATAAATTTTATTTTAAAAATAAATAAGGCACAATTTGGATTATAGATTATAAACACAAGGTAATAAGACCAAATCCAAATAAATAAATAGTGTGTGACGTTTCGGTAACAGCGTTGTTACCATCTTCAGACAAAAGTACTGAATGAGAAATTATTTAACTAAAAACAGTAACTATTTAAAGCATGCTGTGCTAAAATTTCTCAATCAGTACTTTTGTCTGAAGATGGTAAAAATGCTGTTACCGAAACGTCATACACTATTTATTTATTTGGATTTGGTCTTATTACCTTGTGTTTATTTTTAAAATAATATATTCTTCGAGTACAACTTTGATTTTTTAAATTTGCAGTCTCCTAAAGAAGATCAGTCATAATCAGCCTAGTCAAAATACCTGTATATTTGAGGATATCAATCTTCTTCTTTATCTCCACTCAATCATATCAGGGTATCAAGCTTGTAGAGCTTGTTGATTGTGTCTGCTGGGGATGAGTAGAGCTCATCAATGGATGAGTTAATACAGCCAATAATGTGTTTTGGGGTTGCAGGTTGACACTTAGTACATAGTATGAAAACCTTGCAACCATTCTGGAAAGTCATTGTCTGTAGATGACCAGACTTAAGTCTGGAAATCAAAGACTGTTGTTCTCTTGCCAGGACCGAATTGTCCCTCCTGCTCTCTACCATTCATGTACAGCATTAGATGAGGATATCAATAAAGTATTGGATCCAAGTTGTCATCATTAAAGAATTTCACTGCACAATACAGGCACAAATGTCATACCGTACCATCAATAGTGATTGTAAAGGCAGGTGGTTAGTATCAGTGGACATTTGAAGTCAATTTTATAAAAGCAATATTCAAAGCGGGTCTGATGACCTTGAGTCCAGTCACACGTAAGGGTACAAGTAAAAATTTATTTTAAATGCATATACAGTAGAACCTCCCTGTAACGGACACCTAATTGCAGAGACAAAGTATCCTTTAGGAAGAGGTGTCCTCTTACCAAAGAGTTGCTAAATAGTAAAAATGGTAATTTTGCAAATGAAAACTGTCCTTTGTAGAGAGGTGTCCACTAAAGGGAGGTTCTACTGTATTTGGAAGAAATGCTGCAGAAGAGTTCCTATAAACTAGAAAGCTTGCCAATGATAATAAATTATAAAGAAACCTTTTGTGGAGTAGTTAGTTAGGTATTTAAAATATGTTTCTGCAATATTTCAAACACAATGTCATATTGTATCAAGTAAGCTTATTTAAGTGGTTTAAAGAG